CAACAGTAGTCTGCAAGCATGGAAGGTTTCCACTTTCCCTGGTACCTTTTTTCCATTGTTGAAATATCCTGATGAAAACGTTCGCCGTGCTCATCACTTACGGCTCCGCAATTGTCAGGAAAAAAGTCCAGGTGTGAGTGTAGGAAATGTATCTTACGAGACATATTACAGCCCATCTTTTGATACGATGACAGCATATTTTTGACAAGGGTTTTATAGTTGTCAGCTTTTCTATTTCCCAAGAAATTAGTGACCACCAGACGGAAATCATTCCAAGCAGTTTTTTCAATACCTGTTAAAGTGTTTTCAAACTGTGTATCTTTCAAAATATTTCGAATCTGTGGCCCAACAAAAATACCTTCTTTAACCTTTGCCTCACTTAGTTTTGGAAATTTCTGACGCATGTATTGAAAAGCTGACCCATCTCTATCTAATGCCTTGACAAAGTTTTTCATTAGGCCCAACTTGATATGCATTGGTGGTAATAAATTTTTTTTTCGAATCTACTAATGGCATGTGCTGTACATTTTTTTTGACCTGGCTCTAGGAATTGACGAACAGGCCAGTTTTGTCTGGTGTAATGAAGTGCCTTTGCCCGACTGTCCCATTCATATAAAAAACAGCAAAACTTTGTGTAGCCTAGCTGCAGCCCAAGTAAAAGTGCAACAACTTTCAAATCGCCACAAATATGCCATTGGTGCTCATCGTATTTTATGCATGTCAATAGGTACTTCATATTGTCATATGATTCTTTCATGTGAACTGCTTACCCTACAGGAAGAGATGGTAAAATACTTCCAATATGCAATAACACTGCCTTTAAACTCAATGTTGAACTGTCTATAAACAATCTCCATTCTTCTGGGTTATAGTTTATATTTAAAGCCGCCAGTAAGCCGTTAATGTTACTGCAGAAAACCAAGTTATTCTCCATATTTAAAAATGGTTCTAAGTCTTTGTGGCGTTTACGAAAAACACATACCGAAACATCGTCTTATAAGTTCCACTGCTGCAGTCTTGATCCAAGTAACTCTGCCTTACATTTTGGAAGTTCTAAATCTCTTACAAGATCATTTAATTCTGACTGTGTTATTTCAGGATCTCTTGACGTTGATGGCATATCTTCTTCCTGACGAATCACTCGATCGCCATGATCTGATTCGTTTTCTGATTCGCAAGTGTAGGATTCTGGAGGTTTTGGAATAGGATTTTCGTCACTGTGAGGCACAGGTCTCATCGCAGATGGTATTTTTGGGTAGTTAATAACCGATTTTTTTTTCTTGGACCTACCTGTGGCTTGTCAAACACAAGGTACCATGCAAAAGTAACAATCATTAATATGCTCCTCAGACTTGAAGCACATGTATTACAGCAGATGTGGGGTGCCCACTGTTTGTCTTGATCACCTAGTTTTCAACCGAAATAAAGCTGATATGCCTTTGTTATTAGTGGAGTAATAAACCGTCTCTGAAACGCAAAAGTCACATCACCACACACGTAACAAAACTGATCTGGATTGTTTACACACTTTCGAGACATCTTGCATGAACGCTGTCAGCCAACTGAGGAAAAAATGGCTAATATAAAACAATATAATGTACACGTATGTATAACGTAACACAATCATGCCGATTACATCATCTTTCCTTGCCGAATATAAAAATGTAGCACGTGCATTCTTGTGAATTACAGTATATTAACACTGTCACAGCAGGAACACATATAATTACCGTATCTCTAAAACTTGAACTAATATTGAAAAAATAAGTTTCATTCCGGTTTTAGCACATTAAAAATAGTAATATTTTGTTGATTTTATTTAGGATATTTTTTGGCTGTTGATCAGTGTTATTATTTAGACGGAAGCTTGCTACAGCTTTGTTATAACAAAACAAGAAACCGCCATCTTTTTCTAGAGGACGCCCTTCGGCTAATGATTATATAGATATTCGTTATGATCGTTTAGATCATTTTGTGATACCACAACAAAAGCCAACTAGATGTGGCTTAAGTCATGATTGAGCAAAAACAAGGTGCTCTAAGCGCAATGTAGGGATGCATGTAAAATGTGTTTTGTCCTTCCATACTAAACCTTAATGTTCGCCTATGTGCAATATTTTGTACGGTATTTTTTGCACTTTTTCCTAAAATAAAATTTAAAAAATAATAAATTTTTTTAATAGATGCTTCATATAGAATGAATTTGCAGAGAACATACTTTATTTATTATAACTTATTTGATCTGTAGGCATATCTGGGTTAATATTGAAAAGTTATGCTATTACAATATTTAAGTCAGAAAATTATCGATGTGAAATTTTAATTTTGAAATTAGTAGGCCATGTACTTATAGCGACAAGTAGACCTGCTATCATTTTAATTTTGTGATCTGTTTTAAAAATTGTGAACTTATTATATAATAATAATATAATAATATTTATTCGCCAAAATACAAAAAATGGGCAAATAAATATGAAAAAACCACAGAAGGCATCGCCTGTGTGTGGTTTATATCTTAATAACTAACAATCAATCATATATGTGTATAACAATTATTGTTAAATCTAAAAGGTATTAATGTAATTGGAATTTTGTAGTTTTAGTTTTCTATATAATTATGTATAGTCATTCGCTGCACATTGCTAACCCAGTCTTTCAATTTTCTTCTAAATTTTTTTCCAAAATTAAGTATCTTTATTTCGTTTGGTACTCCATTATATCATTTAGCTGCTAAGAATTTAAATGATTTTTTGAATAATGTTTTGTGTGGTCTTTGGATATTAGATGAGCCTATTCGAAATCGTGTGTTATGCTCGTGTTTATAGGATTTTTTCTTTTTATTACAATACTTATGGTATAAGGTGGTGGCATGTAAGAAATAAAGTTGTCTTGTATCAAGTATCCCTGTTTCTTGAGATAAGTTGTTCGTTGGATATAATCTTGGCTTATGGAAAATGGCCTTCAAAACAGTTTTTTGTGCTATATTCAGGTCAGAAATATATGTCTTGCAGGCGGCACCCCAGGCTGTGATGCCGTATATTATATGGGTTTCAACTAAGGCATGGTATAGGATTCACAGATAACTTTCTGTAAGAATGTTATCAAGCATTTTGAGTTTATAGGCAACAATTCTAATTTTTTTGATAACATATTTAATATGCTTATCCCACCTTAGATGTGAGTCTATAAATATTCCAAGATATTTCAAAGTGTTAACTCTATCGATTTTAGTCTTTTGGCCATGATAATTAACGGAAATTTGTTCGAAGGTAGGTAAAAATTTTGAATAGGATGTAAATGCAATAAATTTTGTTTTTTTGAAGTTAACTGTTAAAATTTTAGTATCAAACCAGTCAATGATCCTTATAAAATCCTGTTCAGCTATTTGCTTCAGTGTGTTGGTTGTTTAACAGTTATTTTAATACTATTAAGTAAAGAATGTCTGATTCCGAGTTTTCTTTGACTCCACCGGAATTAGTAGAAGTAGCCAAGGTAGCGTCACAAAAATTATTGCCAGCTAAATCGCGGAAAATTTACGAAACCGCGTATTCAAGATTCATGAAATAGAGGATGAAAAAAACATGCAGTTCTTTGTCGCTGTTATTGGCTTATTTTTCGGAATTGGCACAACAACAAAAGCCATCAATAGTGTGATCGAATTATTCGATGATTAAAAGTATGTTACGATCCAATAATAATGTAGATATTTCAAAATATTTCAAACTAATTACATTTCTGAAACAAAATGGGAAAAGTTACAAGCCCAAGAAAGCTGCGATTTTCACGAGTACACAAATTAGTGATTTTTTTAATAATGCTCCCGATGAAGTCTATTCAGTGGCCAAGGTTGTTGTTGTATTTGGTATTGCAGGAGCTTGTCGAATTTGTGAAATCAGCCAGGTAACATTAGATGATATTGAAGATTCGGGAACGTTATTAATTGTGAAACCTAAGGAAACAAAGAATGATGTAAATAGGAGATTATTAGTTACTGAAAAATATGTTTAATTTTACCGAATGTACGTAGCCCTTTGTCCAGCATTTATTGGCAGCTCAGTTTTTTTTTGAAAAACGTTCAGACCCGTCGATTTTGTCTTCGAGGGGGACATAAGTTTGGCAAAAAATCACGTTAACACGTGCAGCCCCCTGGGCGGGGGTGACACCAACCCTAAAAGCTTAAATGGAAAGGGCGGTCGAGTGATACCTTATTTTAAAGGTGTTTCAATTCCCTTTATAATGATGTAAAATACATGAGCTTCAGTTCAGTAGTTTTGAAGATTTATTGACTTAAAGCTTAACGTAGACTTTAATAGGTACATCAGATTAGTTTGTACTACTGTCAGAAGAAATTTGACCAAAAGAACTGTATGCTGCGTTGTATAGTCAACCTACTCGATGCCATTTTTCTTCTGTGTGGGTCAAAATTTTCCGATGTCTACGATTTTTACTACGATAGAGTCTTAGGTACAAAACATTTTGTATTCATTGGCGTTGCTGTTTGGGTTGATACTTCAATCTATTCCAAAGATATGTTTTTGTTTTCAATTTGGAATTATAATTGCAACACCGTGTATTTCAAGGCCGTTGTTTCTATAAACTCTCCGTAACATTTTTCTGTCCTAAGAATATTGCGACTCTTTTCTGGATTACCCTTTTATTCAAAGTTAGCATATCGCTATTCGGATGTCACGTTCCAGTATTCCTCCTGTATCTCTCTTTTACAGCTGTGACATCAAAATACAGTAAAACATGCATGAAACAGATGTATCGCATGTGATTTACATTGTAAATGTGATACGAATAAATGTTTAATATGAATTCAAACAGAAAACTGGCAGAGTCAAATCTACCCTACCGGAAATCTATGTATAATTTAGATTCCGACGTGATGTACTCAGTGACAGTGTTACACCCAGAAAAAATAATTTCAACTTGTTTTTTGGCAACATTATGACTATATTAAAAGCATGCTGAAGCATCAATGTCAACGTTTTGTTTACCTTTGTTAAATGTTCTTTCGTACAAGTCTCTGGCTTCATCCAACGCCGAAACACTTTGCCATGGAATGTCTATTGATCTGTTTTGGCGTGTCTGCTTTTCTACAGGTATTAAAGTCCCCCGTTACCTGTTGAACCTGCAACTCACCCTGCTCCTGCTGCTGCTTGGTAGACGAGAACGTTTGAGCTGACGTTTTTTAGGGCAGGCAGACGATACGGCTACGCCAGAGTGTACAGACTGCAAAAAGTAGTGTCACTGCGTAAACGTCTCACTGCGTACTGCACACAACAAGATCTTCCTTTCAGGATCTTTAGGGAGGCAGATCGGCAGACGATACGGCTACGCCAGAGTGTACAGACTGCAAAAAGTAGAGTCGCTTGCGTATACGGTCTCACTGCGTACTGCACATAAAAAGATCTTCCTTTCAGGATCTTTAGGGGAGGCAGACCGGTAGACGATACGGCTACGCCAGAGTGTACAGACTGCAAAAAGTAGAATCGCTTGCGTGAACGCTTTCACCGAGCACTGCACACAAATATAAACAGATCTGAGTCGTTGTTCCACTTCTCGAACACGCTTTTATTAGCTAGGCCTGTATAAGAAGTGGTTTAACCGTTGAGTGGCTTTACTATCGGTAGTCCGTATAACTTCTGCTGCCTTGTTCCCTTGAACAGGTAGCAAAAACGACAGGAAATTGGGGGACGCTGAATAACAGAACTTGCCTTGTCTTTGACATTTCAAGGGACGCGACAAGCATAAATTTTCGATTGTGTTTAGAGAGTGGCTGTTGTAAGTTATTTAGGGATTGACTGAATAAATGTTTGCTCAGGTTGGGACATTTAAAGTTTCTCCAGCGTTAAAGTCATCTATACAGTAAACTATCGCTCGATCGCGTTTATGAGGGGTGTTCAACAACGTTATGTATAGAAATCCTTGGGAGCTTGTAAATACATCACAATTATTTTTTGTAAAGATTGAACTATATCAGACTGCTGGGTCTCAGGTCAGATCTCTGATCAGAGAAGAAATCGCTACTAGTCTTCTTCTGGGCTTGTCACAATGAATTTCTGCATGTAGAGTGCTATCAGCAGCGAAGCCTGTGGTACAGGAGAGTAGATCACTAGAAAGTCTTAGATCGGAAAAACTGCCGCGTTGACGTTCTAAATGACTCCGTCGCTACCCCGCGATAGACATACGTTTTGAAAGTTGATCTTGTCATTCTTGTCACCTGGATTGCGGCGTTGCCAACTCATCGGATTATTTTGCTATCTCTGCTATCACCAATTTCTTGTACCGTTTGTTCGAGACCTAATAAAAGTTGGTGAATGTATTTATCTTACTGTAAATAACAAGTGAAAAATTTTTCAGCCTTATCAGTTGGACATTCCGGTTTTTATACTGCTTTTTTTTAATTCACTAACGCTCTAAAAATGAATATTTCAGCCGCAGTAAAGAATCAACGTTGGCGGATTTTGGTTCTTGACATCCTTTACGATCGGTTACGATGCCTAGAGTACGGAGACCTGTACGATTTCGTCAACTTAGTGAGTTTGATAGGGGCCGTATAGTGGGACTTCGGGAAGCTGGACTTTCTTTTCGGGCAATTGCAGTTACAGTGCAAAGAAGTGTAGACACTGTAGTTAGGTGTTGTCAGGCATGGCTTCAAGAAGGCCGTACGTAAAGAGCAAGGGGCACTCGTCGCCGCCGAAGAACAACAGACCGTGAAGATCGCCGCCTAAGATTATTGGCCTTAAGGGACCGTTTCTCCATTACCAGGTCCATTGCGAATGAATGGTTTGCAGAACATGGAAGACCTATTGGCATGCGAAGTGTTTACCGACGAATGAGAAGTTTTGGCTTGTTTTCATACCGGCCACACTGGGTCCTCCCTTTAACTCGAGAACACCGACGTAATCGCCTTGAGTGGTGCAGACAACGGTCACTCTGGGATCAGGAATGGAACAGTATTGTCTTTAGTGACGAGTCTCGATTTTGTTTAGGCATGCACGATGGTCGTGCCAGGGTTAGAAGGCGACGTGGTGAAAGGAGGAATCCACAGTTTTTTGTTGAAAGACATGTTGATCACACTGTTGGAGTTATGGTTCCAGGTCACCTTTAATCTTCATCAGAGGTAACATGAACGCGCAGCGTTATATCCACGAAGTTCTAGAACCCCATCTTGACACCCTGGCAGATCCAACTTTCCAACAAGATAATGCCCGACCACATGTTGCAAGAGTCACAATAGACTTCTTTCAACATAATGATGTCACATTGTTACCATGGGCACCAAGATCTCCCGACTTATCCCCAATTGAGCACGTGTGAGATATGATGGGTAGGAGATTGCTCAATTTGCAACGTCCTCCTCAGACTCTAGAAGCACTTCGAGAGGAGTTGGTGGTTGCCTGGAATGATATACCACAGGAGGACATTGACCACCTGATCAGAAGCATGCCTAGGCGCGTTGGAGAATGCGTAGCACATCAGGGTGCATCCACACATTATTAAAGGTCAAAGGGCTTTAAAGCAGTGCAATCATTTTGAAATTTTTATCATTCACTTATTATGCTTCATTAAGTACTTATAGTAAATTTTATTAAAATAAAACCATTTAAACTGGGTGTTCGGATTTATATGTCACTTAGTATATGTACAAAAGGATACTTACAAGAACGTTAGATTAGTGCACGTTTCTGTAAATTTCTTTTTATAATAATGTATTACAGGATGGCCAAGATAAGGATCAGACTTGGTTAAACTCAGTAATCGCACAATCTTACATCAAGCATTTGTTTGCAACGCCTACTTAAATATAATGAAAAAGTAAAAAAAAAACAGCTTTGTTTATAACTAACAAAACAAATATAACGTGATACATCGTTGAAGTCGTAGGAAAAGCTGCTATTAGATACAGTGTAGCGCTTTTTTAAAAACACCATCATTTAGTGCCTAAATAGTGCCATTATTTTTTTTGTCATTTCTTAAAATATAGTCAGATTAAAATAAAAACGATTTGGCCAAATTTTAGTTTTTCCCAAATACCTCAGTATATGACTAATTTCTCGGTGTATGCAATGTGCGCAATTTATTTAAAAAACATAGGATGTCAACCCTAACACAAGTACTCGTAGATGAGTATGAAAGGCTCACCTAGTTTGCTGCACAGATATCCTGTTTCCCTCAGACGAGTTGGAAGTAGACCTAATTTTCACTTTGGATACACTTGACACCCGCGTTACAACACCAAGGCGCCACTGAGAGACAATCGAGAACTTTATAGTAAACACCACTACTGAAAAAAGTAGCTAAACCGAATAGAGCTCTGTACGGAGCTGTGAACGCGTAGACATTCCGCTGCGCCGACGGCTGCCGAGAGACTGAAGCGTGCGAGTGCTGTACCTCGCTGTGGCGATACCGTACGGCCGGGTAGTACAGCCACGCCCCTTTCCAGCTCCCACTCCGCGCGTCTGCTCCCGAAGCGGCTCGATGTTTACGTTGACCGCGAAGGCCTTTTGCATTTAATACAACTGGAAGAGCTTGCTTCAGAGTTGCGTGACGTAGGTTAGGAGGTGTCCGTTGATGGTTTTGAAAACCATACTGCCTATCGCTAATCAAGCCATGATCGAGGTAATGCAGACCGTTTAGAAATGCCAAATGAACGGAGACTTGAAAAAGTATTTCTAACGATTCGTACGTGCATATTTTTGTTCAAGGATCTATTTTGCAAATCAGGGGTATTTAAGGTTCTCAGAAATCACTTATGTAATAATACATTCTAACTACAATTTTAGTAGCGTATCGAGTTGATTATGCAAAATATTACAAAGACGTTGTTTGATTTCAAGACATACGTTTAACTATTTTCCATATGCTTTGCTAGCTCACGTCTCCCTAAATCAATAACATCATACGGGTCCGCTTTTGGACACTTTTCTTTACCATTAAGCTATTGTATGTAACCCTACGATTCTAAAAAAGAAAACAATTCCAATAACCGTCTACAAAAATACTGGCAAGATAAAGGGCCCCGGGAAATGGCCTAGTTGATTCCCGTCCCACAAAAACTTGTACCAAGTGACGAGATGATCGTGTATGCTGTCAAGTGTAGTGTGGATACAATCAATTATATCCGACAGTCCCTCGAGATTCGGACAAAAAAGAAGACTGATGAACTTTTTGCGCGGAATTGCCTGACACATACTACAGTCATTTTTCCTATAGGGATCAACGGAGACAATTAAAGGATATTAAATCACGATGCATTAAGCTAGATAGGGCATCCGACTTTGATCCAGAAACTTTTTCTAGTTACTTTTACAACGAATTATTGAAATTACCGAGATGTAGGGGTCCGCAATTTAAATTAAACCTGAAAGAAACCTAATTCGGTCGTGCGTGGCCGCATTGATAAGTAAAACCTTTACACATCGGTTCTGAAAAAACAAAACAAAACTAGAACACTCATACAGCAATATCGATGTTTCCACATTATTTTAATTTACGGTGAGGGTGTTCCAAAAGCTACCGAGGCCTCGAGATTGCATGTGGATCGTTTTTCAAGATTTTCGTGATTTCTTTTTTGTTTCAGATTCAGTATAAGGATCTGTGATAACATTGTTTATATTAGTATTTTACTCATACATAAATGAAAAGAAATCGAACTAATGTTATATACTAAGTGACATATAAATCCGAACACCCAGTTTAAATGGTTTTATTTTAATAAAAGTTGGTGAATGTATTTATCTTACTGTAAATAACAAGTGAAAAAATTTTCAGCATTATCAGTTGGACATTCCGGTTTTTATACTGTTTTTTTTTATTCATTAACGCTCTAAAAATGAATATTTCAGCCGCAGTAAAGAATCAACGTTGGCGGATTTTGGTTCTTGACATCCTTTACGATCGGTTACGATGCCTAGAGTACGGAGACCTGTACGATTTCGCCAACTTAGTGAGTTTGATAGGGGCCGTATAGTGGGACTTCGGGAAGCTGGACTTTCTTTTCGGGCAATTGCAGTTAGAGTGCAAAGAAGTGTAGACACTGTGGTTAGGTGCTGTCAGGCGTGGCTTCGAGAAGGCCGTACGCAAAGAGCAAGGGGCACTGGACGCC